TTGGATGGAGGACGGCTGGTCAGCGGCTGCCTTCAGGATGGACGATCATGAAGGAGCTGGAGCGGGTCCGTAAGTTCTCTGAGAGGCCGCCATTGCACCGCCCAGAAGGACCGACCAGTTCACTTTTGGAAAGGCTCGAGCAGTTTGGTTGCGCCTTCGGACCGCGCCACTCTACGAGCAGTGGAAAAAAAGGGAGTGCGTTCTGAAAAGTTGTTCGTAGCCGTTTTCACGAAGCAGAACTTGTTTGCCTTCGTTTTGGGTCAAGGTTGTCATTGCCCAAACCTTTGAGATGCTGGTTCGGTTACAGAGAAGTGGGGCTGAATTTTCAGTTTCATCCGGGGCAGTGCTGACCTTGTTCTCAACGTCCTCGGTTTGCGAGGATGCCCCCCGTCACGAATGAATGCGCCACGATAGACCCCGGGCATCTTTGGAACTCTTGCTGTGCAACTGCTTAGAGCGCTCCACGAGTGCCAGGAGAATGGTTACCTGCTCCTTGCCACTCCCGATGGCGAAGTTCCTTGCCTAGAGCCTGTGCTTGGGTACTCCAGCAGGTTCGAGAGCCGTGTTTGGTTGCTGTTGTCCAAAGCTAACACACGTGGTGTTTGGTTCGGTTTACCACCATTCTGTATCCACTTTTTTGATTGGCGTCGGCTCAGCTTGCCTCATTGGATTCCGGCTTCGATGAATGTTGTCTGGGCTTGGCTAGGCCTTTCGTCTCAGGAGATGCAGCCTGTCGAAAGCATTGGAAGAAATTGCATCTTTACCCGCATGCTGCCAGACTTTGATCCCAGCCAAACCGCCGAATCATACCAGGCCGCTGCCAGGGCAACGGGCAGAAGCCAAAGCATTGAGTTGGGCCCCAGCCATTTCCAACCACAGGCATCTAAGTGAGAAGGCCTTGGGCTTCCCCAGCCAAGCTGACTGAGAAAACGGTTTGAGTTAATCGGAGAAGCTTTTGAGTCGTTTGGCGTCGGGCGTGGCGTAGCTGCTCAGAGCACGTCCTGAAACGCAGTGTCAGCCCTCAGATGACTTGTCTGCGCCTTCAAAGTCCTAGAGCTGGGACACGCTGAAAGCGAGGCAGCTCTTCGCGAAAACAATGCCGTACAACATTCAGCTGGTGCTGGCTGGATCCGATTGCTTGACCCATCCGAGCTGAAATCCAGGCGGTTCCAGCTAAGTGCTTGTCAGAACGTCATTTTGGAGAAGCTTGACTCGCAGGTTTCCCTGGCTCTCGACGGAGGGAGTCGCTCTTGGGTCGTTCGGCGAGCGACCGCCTGCCATGTTCTCCCAACATGCCTGCTGAGCATGTCCGGTGCAAGAGCCGGAATGACAGGGAACGAGGGCTACTTCGACCCCTGGGCACTTCTTCAGGCTCGAGTTTTGCACAACATGGGACTGCGTGATTAAATCATGCATGAATGCACTTAAGATAGTGCAAGGCTATGCGCAAAGCAGCAATGGCCAAAGGAGTCAGATTTGTGGAGACGGCTGTCACCGCAATGAGGATGGCGCCGGAGTCCCAGCAAATCTGTACCGGGCTGCGCCGTGCTCGTAGTCGCATGCCCCACCAAGACCCGACAAGAGCATCGCAGCTGTCCAATTAGCTGACGGTACCGATGCTACCGCCAAGACGGTGGTCAACGCAGCAGGCCGGAAGACTGAAGACTCGAAGTTGGCTTTTGCAGCTTAGGGAGTTCCGCGAGGTGCCTGGGGTGGGAAAGTGTCGATGTCTCGGACAGACAGCCTCTGGCCAACTTCCTTTGATGCGCACCTCCTCGTGTGCCTCTTCTGAGGGTGGCCATGTGCGGGGAGGTGACGCCGCTCCCAGTGGTACCACGGAAGTGCACTTCTAAGCCGCCTAAGCTGTCTCAGCCACATTTGCCTCATGGCTCGATCCGGCTTGGTTGCCATCGTCGTTGGCGTTCAGGCGATGTATCTTCCTGTTTCATGCTGGTGTCGAGGAGGGGGGGTTCCTGAGCTTGCGGTTTAGCAAGTAGTTTTTTCTCTACTTAAGTAGCTGCGGGAGAGGTGGCCAGCGATGGCTTGCATCCTCGACCACCGGAGAACACACCGTTGACAATCGACGCCAGTGGGGTGTACTTTCGTCGCATGCCTGCGTTGAAATCAGCCTTTGGTGTCATAGCTGGGACGCGTGCTGCCTTTCAGGTTCCGAGGGTTCGCGGAATCGATTTCTGCGCCTTGCCTGCAGCTTCAAAAGGATGCACAACATAGCGGCAATGGACTCCATGAGCGCGAAAATTGAAAGTGCAGTTCATTTGAACTGGCACTGTAGCCTGTAGCATTCACTGAAAAGCAACTAAAGCTTCGCCCACGGTTTCTGCACAAAAGCTCGGCCAATGTTCACGCGGCATTACGTGTCTAAAGTGCTTGCTGCATAAAAGAGGATGCGCTGCACGGACATCGCTGTTTTTAACCAAGCCTTTTGTGGGGATGCTGGGCGTGTTGCAGCTGCAACGAGTGCGAGGTGTGGTGCTAGCCCCAAGCCGGAGGCCGTGCTTGTGCACTGCTTGTCGCGGCTGCGCGCCCACGCAGTCAGCTTACAGGCGGATCTGGACTGTGACGCCGATGCTTTCTGGGCCGTTGACTACGACCTTTTCGAGGACGGGACCCCATTTGGCCGCGCCCAAGAAGTGTGTTTGTGCGGCACGGGCAGTGGATGTTGAAGTGAGGTGGTCCTTCGTGAGACGTTAGCATGTTCGCCCTGCTTGCGGCGTACGGCGTACTGTGGCCGAACTTGAAGATGCCACTGGATCACTGCTGGGCATGCTGGATACCCTCAGCAGGGTCAGGCGAATTTGCTCCTTCCCCGGTCACTCCGCCCCTCCCCTCCCCTCGTTGTGCGACGGTGGCCCGGAAACGCGGTGGGTCCATTGCATGACCAACATCGTGGACATCAAGTGCTATCATGGCACGTCTCGGCAGCAAACGGGACTGGGACCCGGCAAGACCGGAGGCGCTTGAGGCCAGCAAAAGGCCTGCCCTGGGGAGCATTGCACGTTTCCCCCATCTAATGGACCTTCACAAAACACAGCCTGTCGCTTTGTGTCGCTGTGTGCTCGAACCCTCCAAAAGCGCCTAGCGCCTTCATACTCATGCTGCTCGAACAAGGACAGCATACGACAGCATTCTCAGCTGGAGACAGTAACAGATGTTCCACACCGCTGAAGAGTGGAATCCACAAAGATCATACGTGGACATTCGTGGAGTGTAAGAGTCGGAAGGAAGAGGCTGGCAGGAGGTCCTTATCAAGACCTGACGAAGAGGAACAGCATCTTGTCCCGCTTGCTTACAACGAACCCCCCTGGGAAGACTGGCACGGCCGAATTCTCACGACCTGTGAGGTCCATGCATCTGAATCATATCTTGGGAGTATTTCGGAGTAACTCGAATTGTGGATTGGTCATCGTTCAAGAATGATTCAGTGAAAGGACGTGATCTGGCCCGCCCTGGCAGAGAGGGCTCCGGCCTTCGAGGTGGGGTCCCCCTACAATTGCGGCCCATTTCTGAGTTGGGCCTGGAGTCCAGGCCATCAAGCTGGAGTCTTCCTGGGCGGGCCTCTACGAATACAACACCTTGGACCAGAATGGCGTGGTAGGGTCTGAAGCTCGAAGCATCAGATTAGCTATACTTGGGCTTACTCGGAAAGTGCAAAGATGCCAAGGTGGCATCCAGATGTGCCCAACCTGCTGGTGGCATGCAGCAGCCCTACAGTCTCCTGCACTGTGCATTTCCACGTTGAGAGCCTTCTGAGGAAATAAACCAAGCTGTTTGGCCTGCGGTGACCCGTGAAAGAACTAACAGTCCCTTGTCTGTGCCTGGTGGAAAGTGGCCAGTCCAGGAGCTGAGCAAAGCCGCCCGTGTTCAACAATGCAGAACACGCTTCCGTATATACAGCGTCCATGGAAGGCGATGATTTGCAAGCTGCAATGCGCACAATGTGCGCACGTGAACTCGAATGTTAGCGTCGGAGACAGGTCACACTCCGGAGACAGTCACAGCCGAGTCAGAGTTTCTGCGCAGTAAGGCGGCTTCAGTGGTCACGGACTGCAGCAGGCGCGGGGTCCTGGCCCGGGGGGCGGCGCAATCCCGGCCCCGACGTCTCAGGCTCCGGGAGTCGGCAGGGCGGTCGCCGAGCTGCTGTCCTTGGGCGGGCGCGCTTTGTGTTGTGGGCCTTGTGGAGAAGGTATAGAAGGACACAGAAGGCACAGGTTCTGTCGCGCTTTGTGGCGGCAGGTACGACAGCATTGACTTGTCGGTGCTGGGCTACGACCGCATTTTACGCAATGAGCCGGTTTTTGAGCGTGGCATCTACTGAAGGTTACGTTCACCTGAAGCTTGTACATACTTCTATGCCAGTTCTAGACTTGCCCCATTCATCCATTCCTGGGGATCAGGGTGCGTACAAGATAGAAATAGGTGGGAGGTGTAGTTGCTCACAGTTGACGGAGCATGAAGGAGCAAGTTGGACCAGCATCCGACAGGTCAGGCGTGACAAGAGGCCAAGACTTGTTGTGGACACAAGGGAGCGGCTATGGCATAGCCGCTCCGGCTATGGGAGAAGGAAACACGGCGTGAATTCAACCCAGTTTCAGGAAGTTTTCCAGTTCGCAACCGTGCGTGGGTGCACAATTGTCAGAATGGACATCCATGCTCCATGTTTCGCATCGGCCACGGGTTTTTGGAAGTGTTGAGAGCAGTATGCCCCCCCTATCCAGTTTGATGCAATGCACTTCAGCGGGCCTCTGATCAAGGCCCCAGCGGAACAAGGGGTCTAGCGGGATGGGTGCGTGAGCATGCTGGCCCGAACGTTGCGTTGTTGCAGCGCCGTTCCCAAAGTTCCCCGGGGCATGATGGAGGCGCAAGCCACTGGGAGTGGGAAGCACGGAGTCCTTGGAAGCTTGCAGAAGCAGAGCCGGAGCCATGATACGATCTGCACAACTTAGTTCACCGCGCGCTGGTGTATTTTTGGCTCCGAGATCTGCCCCGGCCGCCTGAATGGGACCTGCTAGAAGCAAAGTGTCGTGGCATGCACTCAAGCATCGGACGTAGTGCGAGCTTTTGTTGCTAGAGGTGTTCGGCCTGAAGTATGTCAATATCGAAAGCCTTACTTGATCACATCTGAGGTGCGAGCACGCCGAGCGTTTGCAGTTGCATCTACCGTGTTGGCCGGTGCACTGCTAGTGCTTCGCACACCTACGGCCGTGGCAAAGACGTTTGCCCAACCATCGCCAGTCATGGAGGCAAAATGTCCCATGCGACAGCCATTTGCAAACAAGAGTGTCGGGCCATAGCATAACTGAAACACCTTCGTGGTGAGAAGGTTGCCGTCAACGCAGGGATGTGGCCCGATCAAGCATGATCTCGTTACCTGCAGATGCACATCTGGGATGCATACTTTGGGAAGCCTGGGAGTGCCTTAACTACGTTGCCATTCTCATTCGCACTTTCCACTGGGATCCATTGGGCAGGATCAACTTCCGCTTGCCTTGTGCTTATACTGTATGGCGCAAACTTTAAAGAATTTGCAGAAGTTGGCACGAACAGACGGCCGTAAGTCAGATGTCTGGCCGACGCTCTTATATTCTGACTGGCCAACATGTCGCGCGACAAGTAGTTCGCAGAAAATGAGTTAGGTGACTGGGATCCGCGAGCGTCCCGAAAGCAGTGTGGGATCCGTGTTCTCTTGACAGGTAGACCCGGAATACCCGGGAACTGCCGTCGAACGTCTCAGGAACATCCAGGCACGGTTCGCGCTAGAATCTATGCAAAGTCTTGTGGATGTCCTGCTGGCCCTGCCGTCTCACGTCTTGGAATCTTCTGCAACTGGCCATGTTCTTTGCAAGGCGCGGGTGAAAAGCTTGACGCCCGAGGATCTGAGCAAAGACTGGGAGGAGGCGTGGAACCGCATCCATTATCTCTCTCTCTCTCTCTCTCTCTCAAAACACTTTACGGCACTGACAAAAGAGGCCAACGGAAACGGGGAACGAGCAGCTTGACGATGTTGCGAGGTGCGCCGGAAGATCTTGTGGGCCGGGGGCCTCAAGGACCCGAGCTTCAGTCTACAAGCCAGTAAAGCCAATAAAGCTCTGTGCTCTTTGGGGGAGGATCTTCCACGCAATGTGCCTGGACAAGGCTACACAGGAGCGCCAGCTGCTTTGAGAGCAAGCAGAGCCACGCGTTTGACTAGAGGCCATTCCTTTAACGATGACAACCACTGCGATCTCACCCCCATGCTGGGAGAGGCAGCAGAGTCTCGGCATCTTCGATAAGTCTGCTGCGTTCGAGCCAGTCTCTGGACTTTCCGGTCTCCACGCTATTCCGCACCCAAAGCATTCTTCACGCGCGAAAGCAAGAGTGACACTCTCAGAAGTCCAGAACTGGATAATGCCAAGTATCGGAGAGACATGAGAGACGGCAGTTGGGCTTGGAGAGAAGAGGAGTTTTGTCTATTCGGCGTTTGCGACTGTTGTGTCACAGGTAGCACACAATCTCCATGGTGGGGAGATTCGTGGAATAGCAATGGGAAATCGGCTAGGCACGTCGAAGCCAAGGGGGGGCACAGTTGCCAGAAGGCCCGTGTCATGCCAGGCCCCGGCATTGAGATTGCGAGTCTACCCGAGCTCGGCCCCGGCGGGTCTTGGAGTGCGCAGGGGAGAACCTGCTTGGGCTGGGCAGCAGTTTTCTCTTCGAGGTACTTGCACGAACGGCTGCCATGTAGAGCCACCACAGGACTGTTAATGCTCTGAGCAAGCTTCGTGTATGTGTGGACTGTGTGGACACCTCATGCTGTATCTGTCAAGTAACGGTGATTTTGCTGGCAGGATGTGGCTCATGTGCAGTTTAGGCAAGGCCTTTGGCAAACCCCAGGCGAACCCTTAGGCAAATACTCCTGCGGGTGCAGGGCTCGGATCGCCTTCAAGCTTGTGTGGACCCCGCCTCACTTCACCAGCTTCGTTTTGGTGGATGACAGCCGGGCGGCCCAGGTGTGTTTGGCTTCCAGGTTTTGAGTAGGCTGTCTGGCACCGTGGCTCAGGTGGTGCATACCTCAATCACGGATCTCCAACTGGCGTCGGCGTCTTGGAAGTCCCAGGAGCAGGCAGCAAATCCTGCAAGCACGCGAAAGCAAACTGCCAGTGGCAAGAACAGATATGCCTCTTGCTGAGGCCCTGCCCGACGTGCGCTCCCGAACCTCGAACTACAACCTTGTGAAGGGGAGCAAGTGACCCTCTGGCAGCTTGCTACTGTAGTTTGAATACAAGGTCGCCCTGCAATCAGAACAGAATGGTGCACAGAAGTTGCCTGGGATGAACCTTTTGGGCTGGCAGGTGCATTTGCTTTTTTCTAACGTCGTGCAGAATTTTGTGTTGTGGCTACTTGTCGCGGTTTCAACGCACGCACTCCGCAACAGCTAGTTTTTGAGGATTCGCAGACGCAGTGTGTGCATTGAATTGGCCTTGCGGAACACGTGCAGGTCGTGGGCTTTCTGCCCGTGCCACCCGTTCCAGATCGTGCGAAACAATCGTGGAAACCGATGCGCAAGTTGAGGTATACGTGTCGCAACTGGGGTGATGATGAGAACTAGAACATACTAGAACTGCCTCCCAACATTTTCAACACGAAGCTTAGACTAGCACGTCGTCCGAGGGCCGAGGCACGAAGCTTGACTTGCCCCTCTGGCTGTGAGCATCAACTGACTGGAGACCTGCCGTCGGTTTTGCTTGTGCTGAGTACAAAATGTAGTGGCCTAACGTGTGGAGTCCGGTGGAACTGTTGCCATGTGAAGTGAGGGCGTGCGAGGCGACTTGTGAGTCCAGCCAAATTGCTGTCAGTGTTGAAGCCATCTGCATTTCCGGAAGGCTACTCCTTGCACCATGTCAGGTATGCACGTGAGGCGGAGGCTTTGGCCGACCGCTCCGCTGGCGCTTAGCCAGTACTTGGCATAAGGCGCTGACTTTTGCAGCTTTACTGAGGCACTAAAGATCACCTTGGCTGCTTTGCAGGTTGCATTCGCATCTGGATTGGCGCTGTGCAATAGGCAGCAGCATCGCTAGGGCAACTTGCTGCGGCCAGCACCAATTTTCATACCCTGGTGATCCCTCGTGCGAGTCAGCGGTCAAAACAGAGGCTCGAGTGTGCGTCCGCCCTTGCATGAACGCAGGCACGCACGCGTGTGCGCAGCACATCGTACAAATATCAAGGACATTCAAGGACGGTGGGCAAAGCCGATCAAGTCATGTCATGCAGACACTCCGAGCTGCATGTTAACACCAAAGGAGTTTCGGAACTAGGCCACAGCGCTGGGCAGCATTCAGGAAAGTTTCGGCACTCCTGCGGCAGGTGTACCAAAGCCCGAGCCCGAAAGAAGCAAACAGGCTCAGCAAACAGGCTTCGTGTTGGAAGGAACTTCATGCTGCTGGCCTGTGCAACTTCAAGCTTGCTCAGGGGTTCAGAATGTTGGATGTCTTGGCCGGTGGCAGGTTTACACCTGCCGGCAAATGTTGAGAAATTAGCATCTTTCTGAGTCTAGGGTTTAGGGAAAAGTATTTAACACTGTGCACACGGGGTGAGAGTTGTGAATCTTGAACGCCTGCATGGGCTCTGATTAGTCAAGGCTTCGGAATTTGGGGTGTATGGCGGTTCGGGTTTAGGGTCGTAGGTTTGGGTTTTGGAGACATGCAGAAGATGCATATGTGCGACCTTGCAGAGCCCATCAAGTCATGGGAACATACCGGTTTCTGTGCGCCCGTGAGTCTTGTTCGCGTTGGTGCTGGCAGCTTTGGGCTTTGCTTCCTGTCCATTGTTCCGGTTATCCAGCGGTGATGCCCCCTCCGATGAGCTTTCTTGTTGGGGCATGGTAACCGTAGGGGTGCAGGGACAGAGGACTTCGGCTTGAGTTGGAGTAGATAGCCTTCGGGGTTTGAGGTTTGAAGGGTAAGGATGGGTTTGCTTGGTGGGTTCAGGCTGATTTCGAAGCTTGCCTACGTTTATCCTACTGTCATCAAGCGGCAACGGGAGTATCAGCAGGGTTTGAGGCGCACATCGTTTGTTTTTGGGTTTTGGATCGCCACTTACAACAGCCGGGTCGAAACCTTGAAGTCTGCGGCTCGAGTTTCAATCAGTTCTATAACGGTAGCACCGACGCGGCTGCAATGCAAAATGCCTGCACAACGTGACAAGCCTTGTTGCACGACCTTAAACATCTCACCGACGCATGTGCTCTCCAAGCGGGCCAAGTGACATGGAATCGATAGCTCCGGGTGTCAGGGTTCATTGAAGAATGCATTGCTTCTCGGTTGCACTCTCATGAACTCTGGACGCATGGTCTGAACTGGTGGCTGGTCTGAGGCAACCTAGAATGCCCCGCGAAAAGGAATCGGCTGCAGTGATCCTGGGCTTAGGCTTAACCTGATCTTCTTTCAACTCTTCATGGGACAGTTCGGATTTGTTTTCCACAGCATTGGCACGCCTTGACAGATCTTAGGAGCGGCGTCGTCCTGCCGGACGAGATCGACCCGTCCCTGGTCACTGAGGAAAGCTGAATGTGGCACGCGAGCCTGAAAACTGAACAGATTGTTTTACGCAGATTGTGAGTTGCTTGCAGAACCAGCAGCTTGCAGAGCCCAAGTCCTTTGCCTAGCCCTTGGAAATCCTGCAAGCCGGGAGTGTCCGAAAAACCTTTTAACAGCTTTTGCTGCCAGACTCTGGATTCGACAGCCAAAGAAGGAGTAGCTTATGCCAGGTCCTCGGAGTCGGACTCTGCCATGCAATCCCGCTTGTGATGACCTGCTTTGCAGGTTGCAAAGCTCTTCACCAACGACCGCTTATCGCGAGAGGCAGGTTCCGTAAGTGTGGTGATGCTAGGAGAAGTTCGTGCTCACTGCAACTGTGTCGCACCAGCGATGTTTCCATACTTTCCGTAATGCTTTCAATCGTTGTTCCTCGTGCCAAGCTCATGTTCATGCAGACGGAAGGGTCCTGCGAGGGATGGTTCAATACAGGATACGTGTAGTTGCAGCCGTGCTGATGAATGTGGGCATTCTTGCAGTCATCGCTTGTATCTCCCGCAGGCGTTCACCTTCCTTGCACCTGAGAATGTGTCTGAGGATGTGGCTGCGACCTTTGGGAATGCTTTCGAGATAGCCGAGATGTCTTACCTCTTTGTAAGGGATTCTGCATCCAGACGCAATGTGCTGCATGACCTCGCTTTGGCACGAGACTTTCCTGAGGCAACCGCTCCTCAGGAAACTGATTCACGCTTCCCCTTTCTTGAGTATTCCGGTAGCGAGTCACAGGCGCGAAAGCGCCAGAGCCTCATGTTAGTTCCTTTGGGTGCCGAACCCCCAGCGGCAATCCCAGAGGTGATAAGTGCCAAGCACGTTTATGGCTGGTATTCGGTGACGCTGCTTTTAGCTGGCCTGGCCACTGCCCAAATCACTGCAGGAGATGCCTTCGCGGGTGGTTCTCGTTCAAACACCCCATGTGCTTACGCCTCCTCTGAGACTTGAAACCCCTACTGTAGCCACTGCCGATCCGATATCGACCCTGAAGGTGTGATCTTTCTGGTGATGGCTGGCTTTGTTGTCTACATGGTGCAGGATTCGTGCAAAAACATGACAATGTATTGTCTATTCATGCTGGGACTTATGGCAAGCTTTCAGTGCTTTTTTGACGCACTGGCTCTCTTGAGCGTTCTGGGTGGCCGCGAAACCTCCGTGTCCTCGGTGCAGGGTACTGAAGACAATGTTACCGTGATAACGAGAATCACCCAGCACCCTTTCTTTGATCAGTCGATGGGCAAGCAGTACAACACCCAGTCTGCTGTTTTACTTGCGAGTCCGCTTGTGATGTCACTGTTGGCCTCGATGTGTCGCTTGGCTCGAGCAGTCGAGCATTGTGTGGGCGAGCGGGCCAGTTGTGGAGCTGGTCTGCTTGCCAGAGGGTGACTGAGGTTATCTCTCCTACAATGCCTTTTCCGAGTCGCTCTTCCATGACGAAGCCGGGCCAATCTACGAAGGCATCCAAGTGCCTGGAAGTTCCAGTGCTCGTGCCCTTGCTGTTCTGAAGGTTGGGGTCAAGGCGCGAGAGCATACGGTGCCTCAGAGAGCGCGGAGAGGATTCGCCCGTTTCTCATTTCGATGCACCAGATCACGCATATCACGCCTTCTGCTACCAGGACTCAGCCATCTCCACCTCGGCTTTTCGAGGCGCGGGATTGAATTCATAATGAATTTAGTGTTTTGCTGTGTAGTGGCCAGAGATTCTGGAATTGTGCAGCGGGCGAGCTACGGTTGCCTGCCAGGGCCACGGACACCGACTGAGCAGCTGAAGCAAATCTGATGAGCTCTGACCGATCCGCGCCAAAAGTGCGAAGTGATGCCAAGGGAGGGTTTTTGCAAACAGACAAACAGATGCACCCTCAAAAACCTAAGCCCTGATGTAGTGCATCTGACTCTGCAAGCTCCTGGACCTCTTACATTGAGAGCCTGAGGTTATCATGGACGGGGAGACAGTTGGTAACTGGATCCTTGAGATCGGGACCCGCTTGTTCGAAGAGGCGAGGGATGATTTCAGCTGCTTTCTGCTTTGCCGGGCTTTGCCGGGGGCCGGCCCAGGGCTCCCTTCCGGGCCTACCATCTTGGGAACAAGAGGCGCAGATGACGACAGTGCTCCTCTCTGGCTCTGGCCAGTCTGCGTTCACTTCTGCGAGGAGTCCCCCGAGTGGCGTGTCTCGCTGAAAGCATGGTCCGTTGCCCAGAACTCGGTGTCCTGGGAGTCTATGCGGCAACAAAACGCGTTGTGGCAGCTCCTGCTGGCTGCTGGGCCTTGTGCCAGGGAAGATGCCCTGGATGTGGCCATGGGCCCGCGCTTTGCTGAGTTGGTGGAAAGGTCTTTCAAGCGGGACACTTAGAAAGCACTGCAGCACGGAGAGGGCCATGGTCCGTTCACTAGCCGCTAGCCGCCTTTCCTTTGTTTATCGGCTTCAGCTCGCCGCCTTGCCCTCCAAGTTCCAAGGCAGGCAGAGGCTGGCTTCTACCAGCTGGGCAGGCTCCCGATATTGTGCCGATTGTGTTACGACGGAAAGAGCTTCAGGTTCTTTTTGCTAGAGCCTTTTTGACCCTCAAGCCGAGAAAAACAGGAAGGTGCAAAGAACAGCTCTATAGTCGACATTTTGCAACCACCGAATATGTCAGCCTCCCTTCCAGAGCCTTCCGGTGGCATGTGGCAGGAGGCAGCAGCCTCAATGTAACTTGGGATCCCACGTGATATTGCTAGGAGCCAGAGTCGCTCATGAGCATCCCCAAACCTTCTGCGAGTTCAAGCACCCAATCCTTTCACCGGTACTCTCCCAAAAGTCGTACAAGACACTGGTACGTAATGTTATTTCGAAAAGCGTCATACGCCGTCAGCATGCTTTCATTGGGGTTTTGTGTCCATAGCGAAGCTGACGAGTGCTAGGCTGGCTCCGCGCCTGGCAGGGCTTCGATGGCACGTCGCTCAACATTTGTTCAGTCCTGTCCTGTTGGCTCCTCGGCCCCGCAGTCGGCGAGGCTCAGCTGCATGGCCTGGATCCAGTGCAGAACGAGGGCCGTGATGGAGGCCAGGGCCAAGGTTGCATTCATCACTTCGTTCGCAGTGGCATCATGGCGTAGGCGGGTTATGGGAAGATGTTTATTATCTATGGCTCTGACTAGTCCCCGTCATCATCGGATGCCCTTCTTGCACGGTTTGGTCTTGAAGCAGACACCGGGCCAATCCAAGAAGTCCCCGAGGCCTCCTCTGGTGGCTAGGCACTCAGGCCGACTCAGGCCCAGTGCGGGGGTTGTGTTTGAGCCAGCGACCCAGCAGAGGCAGGCTTTTAAAATTTTAGGCTGCTGAGGTGGCAACTGCAGCATACCCACGGCAGCGGCCTCCACCGCAGCATGTGACGAGGCGACGAGGGAAAAGGGCGGTAGTCTTCGGTGCATGTCTGAGACAGGCAAAGCGCTTCATCTTCAAAGCTTTAGACACTGTCGTGTCGGACTGCCGAGCTGCACAGTTGACTTGTCCGTACTGAGAAAGCGACGGGGCAGGAGCCGAAGGTTCGAGTCCTTTTTGACTTCGATCTGGTTGGAGAGGGCGTCCAGACCCAAGCGATAGCAACTGTTGACGTTTCGTCTAGCGATCTTGTCCAGAAGAGGTGTGGCATGGTGGTGGCAAGGAGGCCTTGCCGGACGAGAGCACGGATGAATGGCTGGAGCCTTTCACTGAGCCACTGACACCGTCTGCCCGTGTAAGCATCCAGGCACCGGCGAGCTTGTGAGTTTGACCTTTGCCGAATCGCCCATCAGGCTCCGTCCTTCGCACTGTTAGGACATGTGAGAGCTTGGTGCCCTGTATCAGGTGGAGAAGGCCCCCCCAGCAGATGTGAACGCTTCCATCCCACGCTTGCTCCTGATGCAGCCTTATGGTGCCCCAAGCCCCAAGCAGCCGCCACATGGTCGGTGCGGTACGTCGCCTAGTCGAGCTCGCAGTCCCGCAGGTACTCCTCACAAGCGTCTCCGACTTCCGGAGGCTCAGAGAGCAGGGCTTGGGCCGATCGACAAATCTAGAGTATCTAAGTATCTAGAATCTAGAGGGCTGATATACTATGTCTGCATTAAATTGTTTGCAAGCGAGCTCGACATTGTCGCAGCAGTGCATACACTGTTAGCCGAGCACGTCCCTAGATCCGGAATGACATTATTGTTTCAACGCGGCCTTTCAACTGCATGATCTGCGGCTTGCTTGATGCTTGTCAGAGAGTGCATAATTTTAAACGCTGCGCGTCGTCCGCCTCGGCCCGGCCGTATGTTGGGAGGAAGACATGATGCCAGGTCTGGGGCTTTTGCTTTCGCAGGATATCGGGGTGCAGCGTCTGCGGGGTGAA